AGAGTTTTTGTTAATTGCAGATGATCAAGGAAAGTGCAATTTAACAGCTTCAATTCGCTTAACAGTGTGTAGAGTTTTTCGTGAATTGCATATGATCAACGAAAAAAAACGTTTGTTTGCCTATTATCGCTTAACCAGTTTGTCTACTTTTTTGAAAGCCGCGCAGACGCGGAAGGAAAGTTTTTATTCAAAAATATGGATTGACACAACATTGAGTGGTTTTTTTCCCATTGCAGTGGCTCAAAAAAAGTTTTCTTTGAAAAACTAATGTTGACTTGAAAAGGTGTACACTCGTTTCTAAATTACTTATGCTCAAAAAATACCGTTCAAAAGCTTTGGTTGGCTTGACAGGATGTAGAGTTTTTGTAAACTGCAAATGATCAAGGAAAATTCCCGTTTAAAAGGTTAAATTGGCACTAGTCTGTAAAAATTTTTTCAAAATGCCGATACCTAAGGAAAGTACCCGTTCATATGCTATATTGTCCTGACAGTGTGCAGCCTTTTTTCTCATTGCAAATGCTCAAAGAAGTACCTTTCAAAAGCAAAAACTGCCATAAAAGCGTGTAGAATTTTTCATAAGCAGATGATCAAGGAAATTGCAATTTAACTGCTTATATTCGCTTAACAGTATGTAGAGTATTTTGTGAATTGCATATGATCAACGAAAAAAAAAACCCGTTTTTGCCTATTATCGATAAACCAGTGTCTCTTTTTTTGCCAATCGCAGGCGCGCAAAAAAAGTTTTCATTCAAAAATTTGGATTGATACAACATTGTGTGGAATTTTTTCTCGATTGCAAAGACCCAAGAAAAAATTTTCTTGAAAAGCTAAGTTGGCTTGGAATGAGTACACTCTTTTGTAATTTGCTTAGGCTCAAAAAAATACCTGTTCAAATGCTTTGGTTGGCTTGACAGGATGTAGAGTTTTTGCAAATTGCAGATGATCAAGGAAAATTCTCGTTCAAAAACTTAGACTGGCTTTACGGATTGTAAATGTTTTTAAAAAAATGCAGATGCCCAAGGAAAGTAACCGTTCATATGCTAAAATTGGCCTGACAGTGTGCCGCTTTTTTGTCATGGCATTTGCCCCAAGAAAGCACCTTTCAAAAGCTAAAACTGTCAAAACAGGATGCAGAATTTTTGTAGATTCCAGATAATCATGGAAAATGCTACTTGATTGCTGAATTTCCCTTAACAGTATCCAGACTTTTTGTAAATTGCAGATGTTTGGGAAAACAACCGTATAATTGCCAATCCTTGCTTAACAGTGTGTATCTTTTTTTGCAAATTGCAAACACGCAAAGAAAATATTCGTTCAAAAGCTCAATTGACACAAGAAAAAGTTTCCTTCAAAAGCTAAGGCTGGCTTAGAAGTAGTAGAGTTTTTTGTTATTTGCAGATGCTCAAGGAAAATAACCTCCTAATTGCTTAATATCGCTTAACAGTGCAATTTACCAATTTTCAGACGCGCAAGAAATGTTTTCGTTCAAAAACTCGGATTGACACATCACTCTGGATTGACAATTGCAGAGGCTCAAGAAAAGTTTTTCTATAAGAGTTTTTTGTAATCTGCAGATGGTCAAGACTTGTACCCGTTCGAATACTTTCGTTGGCATAACAGGATGTAGAGTTTTTGTAAATTGCAGATGAGCAAGGAAAACGCAATTTTTTGTGAATTGTAGATGCGCTTGTAAAGTATTCGTTTAATTGCTCTGATTGGCTCAATGGTATTTAGAATTTTTTTGTCAACTGCAGCGGCTCAATGAAAGTTATCCTTCAAAAGCTGAGGCTGGCTTAGAAGTGTTTAGAAAATTTTTGTAATCTGATGATGCTCAAGAATAGTACACGTTCAAATGCTTTGGTTGGCATAACAGGATAAATTTTTTTTTGTAAATTGAAGATGAAAAAAGAAAAATTCTGTTTAAATCCTAAGATTGGCTTGACAGTGTGTCGAAATTATTGTATATTACAGATGATCAAAGAGAGTAACCATTTTAAAGCTTAATGTAGCTCATCAGTGCACCGTGTATACTTTTTTCGAAAATGCACATGTGCAAAGAAATTTTTGATTCAAAAACTTAGATTGACACATCAGTGTGCAGAAGTTTTTCTCGAATGCAGAGGCTCAAGAAAAGTTTTCCTTCAAAAACTAAAGTTGGCTTCGAAGTGTGTAGAATTTTTGGGTTTGGAGATGCTCAAGACTAGTACCCGTTGGAATGCTTTTGTTGGCATAACAGTATATAAAGTTTAGTAGGCTGCAGATGGTCAAGGAAAGTGCAATTTAAATGCTTAAAATAGCTTAACAGTGTCTATATACTTTTTTGTGAATTGAAGATGCGCTGGTAAAGTCTTCGTTTGAATGTTTTGATTAGCTCAATGGTGATTTTTTTGTCAATTGCAGAGGCTCAAGGAAATGAACAGAACTCTTTCGAATGCTTTCGTTGGCATAACATGATGTAGAGTTTTTGTAAGTCGCAGATGATCCAGGAAAGTGCAATTTAAATGCCTAAATTTGATTAAAAGTGTGTAAAATTTTTTGCGAATTGAGGACGCGCTTGTAAAGTGTTCGTTTGATTGATTAGATTGGCTCAATGATGAGTAGAGTTTTTTGTCAATTGCAGAGGCTCAAGGAAAGTATTCCTTCAAAAGCTGAGGTTGGCTTAGAAAAGAGTAGAGTTTTTTTGTAATTTGCAGACGCCCAAGACTCCTGTCCGTTCAAATGCTTTGGTTGGCTTAACAGGATAGAGTTTTTGGAAAGTACAGATGAGCAAGGAAAGTTACTATTCAAAAGCTTAGATTGGCTTGAAAGATTGTAATTTTTTTTAATTTGCAGATTCTCCATTCTCTACTTTAAGAGTTCAGTCTTCCATACTGTTACGAGTAAATTCTGTGCCGTTTAGTATGAAAAACGGAAAAATTCAGGTCAAAATTTTGTTGCGACACCAAGACAATTCATTTTGGAATCTGCAGAAACGACAAATATCTGATACAGCACTTGATCACCTACGAGCTTTCTTTGAGGAGTCAATCCCGAGTGGACAAAAAAATAATTGATTTTCCATGGTTCTCCAGTGACTCGATTGAGGCAACACGCTAAAAAATTTACATGTTGGCTCTGGAATTAAGACTTCATGTCCAGTGAGAACCCTCAGAAAATGGACAATGAACTTAACGTGTAAATTTTTTTTAAATAGTTAGCGACGAACTCCATTCGGACCTTGAGAAAAAAAACTTGTCAGATTGAGCACTGACACAGCGCTTAATTAAATTCTTCGGACAAGAGGAAAAAATAAGTTTGAAAGCATTTTTCTCCATTTGGGTTGACACATGACAAAAAACAGCATAGCCAAAAGTTCCTCAGACGTTCACCGGAACGATCATGATGCAACTTTTTTTTTAGCGAAGTTGGGACCCAAAACGTCGAAGTTGAGTCATTTTGGTTCTTTTTAGCCAACCAAAAATAAAGCTTAAACTACCGAGTGAATCAATTCACGAGGAAGTAGCATTGAAGTGAGCCTACTCCGCAGCCCAATAAATTTTTAAAAGAACTTACATTTCAAAAATTTCGCTAAGAGATTACATTTTTATTTACTAAGCGCAAAAATTGTCCTCTTTACCCATTAATTTTCTTCCTTACAACAATTTCTAAACGTTTTGCTCAAGTATTTGAAGTTTATACCCTGTCAGAAAATTGTTGGGTTGTGTAGGCGGCATTTAAGGGCGAACGTTCGGTTCAGGAATTGCAAAAAAATGCTGGTTCTGACTTTTATCAAGCCGCGTTTGAAATTTAAAGATTGTTACTCTTGTCCAGATAATTTAAGCCAGCACTGCATTTCATATTATTTCAAGCTGAAAGTTAATTAATGATCGTGGGGGAGATCAGGGAGGATATTGGGCATTTCGTTAATGGCATTCTTTTTCAGCCAATAATAGTTCATCACTTAGCTTTTTGGCTTTCCATATTCAAGTTTGATATCCAAGGGAAGTGATCGTTCTTTTGGTTGGTTTAAGGAGACAATAATTTGCCTGGAACCCTTCTCTCAATTGCTGCAAAATCTCTATTTGGAGAATTCGGCTCTTTTTCTTGAAAAAAAATGTAACTTATTTTTCATTCTGACATCATAAAAAAGTACTCTCAGACTGGAAGTTTTTGATTTAAAAGCTTGATGAAAAGCTCTGTTATTAATAACAGGTGCAGTAGACGATATGGATTCGAATTGAACAAGAAATATCTAAATAATTAAATGTTTCAGTAAAAACTATATGCTTTAATAAATGATGATTCCATCATAAAGTTTGGTGAAAATCAGAGGTATGGAAATTATGGTTTTCGTACAAGATTCATGTGAAACATTTGAACCACGCTAGAGCGCTTGATTTTTAGTGTATTTCACATCCGCAAAAAATCGGTAATGGCATTTTGACGGGTACATCTACGTCAGATCAGATTTTGATACCAATGTATCCAACTGCAACGATGTAAACAAATAAAGTTTGGAAAAAAAACTACTTTTGATCATCTGTGACAAACACAAAACCCAAATTACCTCACTTGGCAGTTTTGTTCAAAATAATCCTCAGTTCTCTTAGTATTAGATGTGATAGGCATAAAATACAGAGGCTCCAATAGTGTCGTCAAGTAGATTTGACTGACATCCGGTTGCTGGAAGAGAAGACGTCACAGAGGACTCAGAAGAGACAACCTCTTCTGATCACTCGCAAACCACAAAACAGTCAAACCAAAATATTCGATTTTAATACAGTAAAACTTTTATTTATATTCAGTACTATTAACCGATTATTTACAAACTTGCTTAGTTTTTCCGAACAAAGGTCAGGCTAATTGGCAATCCGAGCAATCAGTTTATACTTTAGCCGGATATCATCTTGTAAGAACTAATAAATCGAAAACAGCACTTGGAACAGTCGACAGCTATTTAATCAACCTAGCAAGAAGTTATTAGTACGAGAAATTAGCAAAACTCAAATTGAGTTCTAACCATGGGATGGGGATGGGCAGGGGGAGGAGGGGGTTGCAGTTGCAAAGTGACCGAGTGGTGGGGGGTGTTACGATGGTTTGGCAAAGTGAGCTTCCTCGTCTGTTCCGTCGTGGTCACTCTCACTGCTATGACCCTGTGCATCGTGTCCTCCATAGTGTCCCTTCTTCAGCTGAAGGTGGCCATGAACACGCCACTCAACGTCAACAAAGCAATCAAAGTAAGACATGACTCTAATTACATACACGCTTTTGTTCATGCTAATAATATCTTGGATTGTCAAATGGACGAGAAATCAATAATGAGAATGAGAGAAAGCTTTGAAACAACTATACCGATTCCTGCAATGCGGGGGGGGGGGGGGGTTTAGTTATGGGCTTTTGATTTGAATCCGCTGTGGAGCAAAACCAACCAATCGGTAAAGCTGCTGGTAAAGCAACGAAATGGCGAGACGTCTTTGTATTTTATCAGCCTTTTTAACCAGACTTTCAAATAAAGGTCAGCCTTCAAGATTGTGACATTGCTTCAAATTAAATTGCAGGTTGACAAATACGAGCCACCGGCAATACTCATTCTGGGCAATGGGATTCAACTCTACGAGTGTCTCTTCTCCCAATTCCGACACAACGTCAAAGCCACCGACGAGGACCCCGAAACGACCTACAACACCTTCGACTATTTGCAACTCCTAATCGACGAAGACTGCGACGCCAGACCAGTTGAGTTTGTACTCACTTTGGAAGATTTAAACAATCACCCAGAAGCACTGAGCTCGTTCACAGACTGGGTTCAGAAGAACCTCATCACCACCATAGACACCTCGAGATGCGATGAATCATCGACTGATGAGTCATCGCGAAGGCACCGCAGGAGCAACCAAAAAGGCAATGAGTCATTGGCATCCACAAAGGTATCCCAACATCCTCGGCGGAAAAAGAGGGGCGTGGATGAGTCCTTGGCAACATCGTCAACGACATCTCCCCTGCACCCCCCGTTACTTCGTGGGAAGCGGGACAGTTTTGATGACAAGGCAGAATGCGGCGGCGAGTGTGGCTTCTTGTGGGATTGTTCCAACCAGCCGGACGGGTGTGCTTCAAAAGTGGCAGTGTTTGACAACTGTTTCAACCCACACACTCCCTATGTAACGGAGGAGCCCTGCTTAACCGTGTACAGGTGTGCAAAATTTTTACTTGCGCTTCAATAACCGAAATTATAACTTTTGCGCTAGTGATATGTTCTTTATTTTTGGCTCTTTTCCAGTTTCCCACCCCCCCCCCCCCCGCCCTCACCAAATTACAAAACAAAGCTGATCAAAAATTGTTAACATGGCATTTTGCAAGTAAGAAATGTTGTAAAATTTATTTTCACGCTGACATGTTTTACGCAGTTTATAACATAAAAAGCCATTTTAAACAGACTTTCATATATTGAATTTCTGAAAAAATCAAGGGGCGGGACTGGAAAAAAGCCGGTTTTTTCTTTTCATGTTTTCTAAACATCAAAGCGATAAAGGAATGTAAAATAAAGAGGAAAAGTGCTTTCTAGTTTTCAAAAATACGACATTTGAAAAGCATTGTATTAAAACTGGAATGTTTTTTTTGCACGCTGATGTTTTTCATCTGTCCCCTACAGCTGTCTGAGTGGGAATGTGGTGCTTCCCAACCAGTGTGGCCACTACATCAATTGTATGACCCTAGAGTCCATACACGAGCAGGAGTGTGTGGACGTGGCTGACTGTTTCCACCACCTGAACAGGACCCTGGACAACTGCCACAGTGTGTTCCAGTGTCTGGAGGACCAGATAGAACACAAGTAATCCAAGATTTTCTCGAGGGGGGGGGGCTGGATTTTCAAAAAAAATGTTGGACAGTTATGAACAAAAAATCGCCAAGACACCTTTAAAAAAATTTTAAGGTCACCCAGCCAAAAATGATGGAGGTCTTAAAATAGTGCCAAAGGGGAGAACTTTTAAGTAGTCAGCAGTCGATTTCCTGAAGAGGAGGGGGGCGTCTCACTATACTCTCCAAGTGAGGAAATAAACAAAAGACACAGACAGACAACGGAAAACATAGAGCATGGTACATCAATTCTACAAGAAAAGTTGACGGACAGTATTGAAGTTCTTTAGGAGGAGGGCGGTTTGGCGCCCTCCTAAACCCTCAGGGATTCAATCCCCTCCCCAGGCCACCTAAAGGGTCCCCCTTTGTTAGTTTATTTAAACGACTTGACTTTTTGGTTGAATTTGTACACTAGTTTTTAGTGAGTAGCGCGCACAAAGAAGGTGAAATATATCCTTTGTACTGATTTTGGAAAGCTCGACACATTAGTTTGATTAATTCATCTTAAAAAAGTCGAAAACATGTTTTTAAAAAAATCATTGATCTATTTGTATGACTGCCAATGGTTTATTGTAAAAATGTTTGTCAGGAAGTGTGCAAAGTATGGCCGTTTGTTTGCAGGTGTGAGGACCCCCTGACGACTACAGATGTCCCTATGAACTTGAGTGAAGATGAGTTGGATGATGTGTGCGCGGGGTTGGACAGAATCTTGGCGGATGACCCCTCTCTCGAGGGACAGAAAAACGAACCCCTCTCAATCATCCTGTTCAAGGGTCCCACCGAATACGCCACCCGCGACTTTGCATTCACTTCCATTCGGTCAGCAACTATCATCTTCATCATTCAACTTAAAACTTGTTCATAAACTCGGCAAAGGTGTCCGATGATTTTGGGCCATGAGAAGATTTCTCTGGATAGAGTGGTTTTGTTGGGCATGCCTAACTCGTGGTCGCTGATCGTTTTTGCCCTTGCAGATGTCGTAGATGTCGTATTTAGTGATAGCAGTCCTTGTTTACTTCTGTGCTAGGTAGCCAGACCCAAACTTCAAAGGAGCAAAGCAAAAAAACAATGGTTCTCTAATCTATTATAAATTAAATTTCACGAAATAAAATAAGCAAATCAGTGTAGCAAATGCTTGGTAGTAGATCGTTCCGATTATTGTATAGGTGAAAAATATTACACACCAGACGAAAAATTAACGTCTGTACGCCCAAATTAGGCTCTCTGGTCTCTGGGGTCAAAATTATTTCAATTCTTAAAAAAATCTAAGCTACTTCAAAGTGAGTGTTCAATCGGTCATTTTTTGACACAGAGGAAGAAATTGTGTTGATGACACCTGAGTCGAGGAGAAGAGCTGAGTTGTGTTTTATGGAGTGCCATATAGAAAATTCCGGTGTACAGATAGCTCACTCTATTCTGTTCTAGTTTAGTCGGTAATTGGATCTCTTTTTGGATTTTAGTTTTACACGAATTTCAGCTGTTTGGTTGCACGTAGATTTCAATGAAATATTTTTTTTCAGTTTTTGTGATTTCCGAATGATTTACTTTCGTTACATAAAAACAGAGTTATACTTTATCGCTCAAAATATCAAACAAAAACAATAATTTAACCAAGTCAAGAGGATCCATTTGTTATGCAGTAACTTAATTCAAATCTTCCTTTCAACTTAAAAAAGAGAGAAAGTTAATTTAGTTTTAGTTATTTCTGAAAAGATATGAAAATTGGTTCCAATCGTGGTTTTTTTTTGCTAGTTTTTCCAGTCGAAGACAGTTACTGAATGATTAGATGGGGTCGAAAACAATATCACACCAAATCTCTCTTACTTGTGATTCGTTTGATAACTTAAGGTTTAAAAAAATTAACTGGGTCAAAAAAAAATTAAATTGAGAGAGTAGTCATTACACATATCAATTCAATGCAACCTCTAAAAACCGAAAAAGCTGTTCATGAACCCCCAGTGTCCAAATGTTTCCGACTTCTGGTGCAATTTTTAGATAACTTGTTTTTGCAACTTACAATTTTTGTGTCAAAAAAATCCTTTCTTGCGTATTCATGTTCCGAAGCAACTGGTCGAATATTTGTGGCCGAAGTAAACTTTTTACACAACTTTACTTTTTAACTTATTTTTTTTGAAAAAAATTTATCGTAATGCGACAACTCCCAACAAAAGTCAATCTCTATTAATACACCACTCACCTTGAAAGACAACTTGTAAAATACTCACGGCTTCAGTCGCGCCAACGTGTTGCGATCTTGCAAACATGGGTAGATTTTCATACAAAATTTAGAGCCAATTTTTGTCTCGGAGCGGCGACAAGTTGTTCTATAGCATGCTAGTTGCATGCAAGTTGGTCTAGCTATTAACTTAGTATATGCTTAAGACATTTTTTGTATTAGATGTTAATGATTTCATAAAAGTTATAAAGTTGTTCGAAATAATTTCCAGTTTTTCTTACCCAAAAAAATGTTTAAATATTCGCATTACTCCATAGAGATTACAGGAAAAGCAAAACATTCAAAGCGTCGCCCTGATACGATCAGCTTTGTTAGAAGTTTTGACTCGGGGGGGGGGGGGGGGTCGATAATTTCATATGCAAATAAATTTTTGCCTTGAAAATTATCGTTTCAATCGCAAATCGTCCTTTTGATGGCAACCTGTCTTTTCTACTCAGTGTGTTGCGATTTCGGCAACAGAGGGTAGGATTTTATACATATCAAGAGCCGGTTTCTGCCGCGGAGTGGGTAGGCGATTATAGTGCGCTCATCGGCAATCTTAAATAGAATTTTCTGTTATAAATTCTTTTCAAGCTTTGCAAGTTGTCGCTTTCGTTAAATATTTCAGTTGCTTTTTGTTACGAGTTGTGTTGTGTTGCGATTTGTCTCGGTACAATTTTTTATATCATCAGAACACTATTGATATCCTGCGATCAAACTTTCAAACATATATTTTATGACAGTATTCTAAAAATTGCCGACTTGGGATATTTAACGCGCGAGATACTTCGTGCTAGTAATTCGTAAGCGGCCAGTTAGTTCGGCTCAGAAATCGTTCAAATTTGAACCGAGGCGTGCTATTTAATGTAGCTATTACCTTATTTTATGCTAAAATTGTTTTTTAATTAGCGTGGGAGGGTAATGATTTTCAAAAAAGTAAGAAATTTGTTTTGAAAGTTTCAATTTTTTAAACTACATAAAAATGTTTAAATTTGCACACTACATAGACGTTGAAGGGCAAAAGAAAAGTTCAATTCATCGCCTTGATGCGATCAGCCCTGTTAGAAATTCCGACTCGGGGGCTCAATGTTTCCAAAAGCGCGTAAAACTTTTGCCTTGAAAACTATTGTTTCGATCGCTGAAATGGGTCTGAATAGAAAACAAAGAATCAACCTGAGTATATATATTCCGTTACTTTTTTCAAGCGCCGAAACAAAAAACTCGGTTTAGATTGGCAGTAAGCACGATAAACAGGCTTTGTACTTTCGAGGAGACTTGTTTTTGTGCGACAGTTTTTCGTTATTTGATTATTTCCGTAGTTTTGAGTTCAAAACTAGTTATAATACAAAATCTTATGAAAACAATTTACCACAAAAGTTAACAGTAGCGCTCTCTTAAATCAAATTACGGTTTTTGAGATAGCTTGGCCAACAGCCGGGCCTAGTTTCAGCTCTGGAATGCGGGTTAGGATTCAGATCACATTCTGAAAGCTAGACAATTGTCATGATAGGAGCGGCGGTAAAATGGCATAGTCTACACTTGTCAATAGAAAGGTTGGAGGTTCGAGGGGCACCATGATTCATGTTCTCTTAAAATTCAAGTAATTCGTATCCAGGGCGCAACATCAGGCCTCCATTAAGAACTGAACCGCTTGCATGCTGGTCGTGGGTAATAGGTTCGAACTCCACTTCGGTCCCGGCCGAAGGTTTCCCAATGTCAGCCAGCTCCTCAAGATGGAAACGGTGTGGAAGTAATCTCGTGGTCATATAACAATGCAACAAAACGTAAGTGAAAAAACTTGAATTCAAACAAAAACCGGCGCTACTTGAATGTTACGCTAACTACAGAGATGACCTTGACATTAGTAATTAATGACGTATTAACATCAAATAGATATGTTTTACACATTCTCCACTACCTTTCCTCTTCAAATAAATGAAAACATAATAATTTTTTCAATCAGTTTTACTACATTTAATCCAATAAGTTTTTAAAGTTCTGTGTAATTTTATCGTGTTAGTTACCTTTGGTACTTTGAGGTGCATCTAATAGCCCCCTATTTTTCTCCCCTCTTCCCGGAAAATTTTTAAAGTTTCATAAACTCTCGAGTTCTTCCCTCGAGTCGGTTTCCCTCAGTCATACTGATAGCAGACACTTCGTCGGCTATATCTAACTCGTCTCTTGCCATCGGGTCTCTGGAGTCGCCTCTAATAATGACTAACTCTGCTACCCGTTGCATGATTTGAACCCCTGGCTCCTCCGGTTGGGTTCACTCGGCCGGCTTTTCCTCTGTCATCTCCGGTGACACAGCTTCGTCCATTGCCGCCATGGGTAATGTTTCCTTTGGTTTAGCGACTTCGTTTGTTTGATCGTCCTGTGGGTTCGAGATAAGCACTCATCTCGCAATCGTCGTTGAGACGCACGACCCCGTTGCAATACGGTGAAGTAGCTCGAGGCCCGCTTTGTCGATTGTCTCTCCTGTACGTTTAATCTCTGCTTGAGCTGCATCTACTAGTTTCCCCAGGGTTTGGCTCTCACGGCTTTTTCAATTTTGGCTTCGAGTCCCTGATACAGTGCTGGTACTCTGAATTCGTCGACTGTATTTTCTCGAGCATCGGTAACCGAGGGTTCACACTTGGTATGTTTCACAATTCTTCGCAGCTTGTCTGGGACGTCGACAAATTGACCGTACAACTCCAAATCTAAGCCCATATAGTCCTGAAAATCGTCCTGAATATAGTCTGTTCCCCAGTGTGTCCCCAGTAGTTCTTCGCAGCTTGTCCGAAACGTCGACAAAATGACCCGACACTTCTTCATCTAAGCTCATGATGTCGTCCTGAATATAGTCTGGTACCCTCGCGGTCGAAATATGTATCATTTGCATTGCGTTTTGGGATCGGAGTCTTCGCAGGAGCACCCTGATCTCTGGTGGTTATGGTACGGTCTCCGCTTCAACGCATTCCGACCCTGGGTCTGCTTATGGTTTTCGAAGAGGAACGCCCCGGTGTTGTCTGTGACAGTTCATTTCGATCATCAGAACTTTTTCTAATTGAGAATACAATATTTATTTGGGTCTCTGCTGATATCGCGCTCGTAAAAAAAAACGTTCGCCTAAAAATTCGGGCGGTTTGCGATCCCTCAACGGGCTAGTTTTGTGACGCAATATCGGATTTGATGTTCAAATTGGATTGATTTTATTCCGAATATCTATGTCCTTATGTTCCTCGGTGAATTACTTGACAACTCCACTTCGACTGCCTCTGGTTTTGTTGTCCACTCATTCCCTTCCGTTCTTGGATAAGATCCATCTTGAACATTCATATCGGTCGAACCATGCATGTTCGCCTCGTTGTCCAACCTACGTATCCTTCGTTGAAAACAAGACTATCGGGTTATCCGGTACACTACTGTTCTCCTCCGAAACGGAAATATGCTACGATTTTTTCAAACTTAGACTCTGTTGTCTCTATTTCCTAATTTCCCACCACTAACTCGTTCTCTTCGGTGCTAACTAGAATTCCTGCGGTGTTTTCGTATGACAAATAATTATTGGAGTTTCCAAAGTTGTTGGGCCATCGGAAGATTTGTTTATGACAATTGGATGTACTGCCTTTCCAATGACCTTCGGCGTTATCTCCCGTCGATCCTTCCCACCGATTCTTGGGTGGTCTGAACAGCTGCTTCCTTCAGAGGATCATCGACCGGTTACTTGTCCCAGCCAACTTTACCGCCGAAGGCTGTGTGGTACTATATTGTGCCCAAGCATTCGTTGGTTTCGCGCCAAAATTTTTGAAAGGTCAGTTTTTTGAATAATTTGAATCCATTTTAGCGTACCACTTGATCGGTTATCAAATCATATACGGTTCAGATGTTAAACGACCCTGGTAATAATTCGTAACCTGTTTGGTGCGCAGTGAGAACGGGCGCTCTGTTAGTCCCCCCACTGGTGCCTTGTTCTGATTGACCTCTCACTAACGGATATTCGATTCGATCGTACATTCCAATCTTCGAATCATCGTCGGCTAATGTGCATAACAAATTCTTGAAAAAAGCTCTTGTTCTTATCTAAGAAACACAAACATTGTTCCAGGACAAGTTACTTGACGACGCGTTACGCGCGACTGTGTGCTAAGTCGTGTCCTTCTCACTACTGAAATGGTTGTCAGACGGAGAACAAGCCATTAATTGATGTGGCCATTAATCTCAAATGTGGCGGTACCACCATCCTCTCCGCGAGTAAAATGATGCCGTTGGATGTAATTATTTTATCTGCCTAAACACCGAAATAAGGTCCTAACATTTTATTCAGTTCCTATTTTGTTTGTTTTCAAAGCCTTTGCGATACAATCTGAAATTTCTTAATCTTTAGCGAGAACTGCCATAAATTAATTCCGCGTTGTAGCCAACAAACTAAAAGAGACGGAAACATGACCAGCGGGATATTAGAAAACTCAGCCAAAGTCTCATGAACAGAGTTAGTGTCATGAACATAAAAGGCATCCTGGCCCTACTTAAACTTAGAATGAAGACAATTGGCTTGATTTTCAGTCATTCGTATTGGTTTGATGAATTCTCAAATTCGGGAGTGTGCAGTGCGCGTGTGTTGTGCAGTACAAATTTTGATCAAATGACACTTTCGAAACGTGTCAATTAGCTCATTTGCTGCTCATTCCTTCCGAAGACGTCAATCTCAATTTTTTTTCTTCTAAATACTACGTCATTTTGGTTTTTCAATACACTACCGCTTTCTTTTGCCGACGATTTTAATAACCGTTTAATTGCATTAATCTGCGCTACAATAAAAAACTTATCCAGCTCGGAATTTTCAGGAGCTGTTCTCACTAGGAGTTTAAATAAACGATCCACATAATACTATTTAATCGAATGGTAGCAGCCGAAAAACTAAACGTGTTTTTTTTTCTTTTCTGACAAAATGAAAAGAAGGCTTTACGGTCAGTTACGATCCTAAGCAGAGCCTAATCAAATGATTTTGGTAATGGGTAACTACCCACACGACAGCTAACAATATCAATTCATTTTTGTTGCATTTTAATTCGGCCTTGTTTAGAAATTGCGATGCCTAAGATACAAGTTACCATCCATCGACGTGTAATTTTATCAGGGCTGCCTCAGGCTCTGTTTCATTGCGTCACATTTGACTCGATTGCTATAACACGTCCCGTACAATTGATTCCTCATTTTTGCCGAAGTCGCACCCCCGGGGTCAGCTCGCTTAGCGCCCCAAAAAATTGTTTCATACCGTCTGTTTTTTTTTGTTTCCTGCCAAAGAGTATAAACCGGCAAAAAGCGTCGCCACTGGTGATACGTGAATGTTGCAGTAGCAGCATTAGTAATTAATTACGTAACAACATAATACAAGTATGTTTTACACAGTCTCCACTACAAACGGCTACATCAAATGGCTTTAAAAAATGCAGGCGGCAGGGCCTCAAGTAATGTTTTTGTTAAAGAGTTCTTCATTTGTAATTCTATACGTGCAATGTTTCACTTGGAAATAATTTATTATTATTATTTCTATTATGATTATTATTATAATCTTAAAAGGTGGCTCATTTCTTTCGTACTTTCAATTGTCGTAGTTAAGAGTAAGGATCAAAATGATTGACGTTTCTTCAGTTTGGGAGAGGCAGAGCGGGGGGCGTGGGTGGCAATGCACCCCTCCTTCTCAGAAGTTGCCGCTCTGTTGGAAAGCAGTGAGAAGCTGGACTTCCTCCTGTTCGCCATCGAAACTCTCCGCTGGACTTTCGCCGCCAGATTCTCCAAAAGCATTCACTTTATATCCAGGCACGCACATGCACAACCATTTCGGGTTATGTTGACAGAACTTGCCCTATTGATTAGAATAATCCTTGATAGGAGCAGGGGCGGATTTAGGGGGGGGGGGGGGGGGGGCGGACGCCCCCTTCACTCACGGATTCGAGCCCCTGCCGACCCAAAGGGTTCCCCCTTTGTACTATTTTGAAATATCCATTTTTGGTGACGGACTCTAAAAGTTTTCTAAAGTATATACTAAAATATATGCTAATTTTGAGGGGGGAGCGCGCGCCGAAAAAACGCAATTTTTTGGTAAAAATTTTCCAAAAAG